CAGGTAAAGTCAAAAGCTTTTACTTATATACTTTATCTTTCCGTTCTGTGCTTTCTACTGTCTTTTGCTGTCAGTCTATTGGACAAAACTCCACTCTCTCTTATCATTTAATCATCGGTATTATTTTAGGAGTAAAATGACTATAGATTCTCATCCCAAGATAAGTAATGGGAGACCATGCACCGTAGTCACCAGAGCTTCAGCCAAACTAAGCAAACAGGTGAATAGTATGACACCTATATCCACAGTAGGCCTTGAAACAAACAGGAAGGCCAATAAGAAACGTTCACGACGTCGCAAGACGACTACAACGTTCCCCAAGAAGGCAGACGATTGCAAGGTCTGCAATTCTATTGTCGAACAAGCAGATTCTGCTTTCGAATGTAACTTTTGTAAGCAATGGGTACATTGTAGATGTGACACCGGGGTACCAAAGGTATATTACGATTTTATGCGTAAGAACCCATGCCCATGGTTCTGGTACATTTGCCCAAGTTGCCGTCCTAATGCAGCCTCGTGTAGTTCCTCGAAAGCTACAGATGTCATAGAGATATCAGGAAAAAACGTGAAACGTTTCACTCCCACCAACTCAGAAAACAGCACAATTGCATGTAAATCGGGGATACCAAAATCCACACCGGTTATACTTGCAATTCCTGCCATAACCGCCCCAGACACAGAGGTTGAAGCACCAAGGGTACCTGTCGCCGGGAAAAGACCCTTACCGTCCACCAGTAAAAGTGGCCACAGCACTGCGACACATAATAATACCCAGTTGCACCAGATGAAACAAAACGGTCTTAAAGGGGATGACAAATGTGCGAGGACCGAACCTAAATCCACGGTCAGTCGATCAAACTGCGTTATCCTCTTTAATGTACCAGACTGTAGCAGTAGTCTGCTGGAAAACAGGGCCCTGTTTGATCAGGAACAGTGGTCCAACTTATGTAGCACACTGGGTCTGGACATCCAACCAGTAAAACTGTGCAGATTGTATAAGGGCACTGCTGCTCCTCAAGGCAAACCATCTCCACTGAGGGTAACACTAGGCTCTGCCGAAGATGCCGAAAAAGTTTTATTGACTTCCCAAGTCCTTTCTATAGGGAGGACCTGCAATATACGTGTTAGGCCAGATAGGCCATGGAAGGAAAGACAGATGGTGAGGGAGTCGCCAGAGCTTATTCCTTCTGCCTCCATGGTTGTTCACGGCATTCCTGAACTGGAAACTGGGAACGCTTGTGAGAAGCACTGTCACGATGTCCAGCAATGGAGATGGTTGGCATCCCAGATGGGTCTGGGAAGTTCAGGGGCTGTCTCTATTTTTAGACTGCCTCGACCCACTCACCTAATGTCAATTAACACCCCACATCTGTTAGCTGTTAAGTTTAGCTCCCGAGACCACTTGACTACTGCTCTCCAGAGGTGGTACGAGACCAAAGACAAGGTCAGCAGACACATTCGCTGCTGCGAGAGCCGGCCTCGTACCCAAAGGAGAGAGCAAAACGTTGTCATAGAACATCCCCAACCCCTAGTCACAATACAGCGGTGCAGCACGGACGATGATAGCCAGTGCCATCCAAGTGCTCCGATTGAATCAGAAGAAAAAAACTCCAACAGGCCGGTTCCCGGGGAATCGGCCAACTAGTTCGTAGGATAACTCCTCAACCGACAGCCCACATCACGTCAACCACCCCCCAATACGGGGACGTGGTGAGACTGACTACCAGTTGCCTGTACAGTAATGTGAGAGGTCTAAGAGGCAAAATAGCTGAACTTAGATACCTACAATCACAGCTGAACTCCAAAATCATAATACTGACGGAAACCTGGCTAACCCCTACGGTGGCAGACAGCGAAGTCAGTATAAATGATATGGTCCTTGTCAGGCGAGATAGGGATCTGAAAGAAGGAGGTGGAGTCGCCATATACGTCGACAAACAGCTCAGATGTGTCCATGCAATCGACCCTCCCCTCATTGAGCTCCCTGACTCCATATGGTGCCATTTCACCGTTGGGTACTGTAAGTATCTAGTGGGCAGCATTTACAGATCACCTTCATGTGGAGCAGACCACAACCAGGTACTGCTGAATGCAATTTCAGCGACACATGACCTGGGTTATGATCAAATTGTCATAGCTGGAGACTTCAATGCCCCATCTCTTAACTTGATGACGGGATGTGCCCAGGACAGATTTGATCGAAATCTGCTGCATACCATCACGGAGGCCGGATTCACCGAAAATGTCAGAATGGATACTAGATGGGGCCCAGATGGGAAGTCTTCTAGACTGGATTACGTGCTCACTAGTGACCAGCTACTAGTGGAAAACGTTCAGATCACGACTCTCATAGGTAGTAGTGACCATGTGGTCATAACATTCGACATAGTCCTCCGCGAGCGTTTACAGTGGGACAATACACAGCCCTATCTGTGTTATAACAAAGCCAATTACACCGAAATGCGAAGACTTTTGTCTGAAGCAAATTGGCCAAAAAATTGGACAGAGCTTACAGTAGAAGAACACTGGAGAGTGGTAAAGGAGATCATTCACCAGGCGATCTCAGACACTGTTCCTTTGGTCACACCTAAAGCTAGAAAGCAACGTTCATGGCTAAAAAGGGGGACACAACGCCTTCTACAGGCGAAGCGAAAAGCCTGGTTTGCGTGGCGAGTATCGCAGAGTCAACCCGAACATGAAGAGTACCTCGAACTCAGGAATCGGTGTAACATACGAGTCCGGAGTGATAGAAGGACATTTCAGAGAAACCTCGCCAATAAGCTTCTCGTGAACCCCAAAAGCCTATACAGGTTTATGTCTGAAAGAAAACCGACCAACCAGGGAGCTTGCAATATAGTGGGTTCTGATGGGAAATCTCTTACTAGTCTTGAAATGGCAGAGACATTCAGTCTAGCCTTTCACAGGCAACTGAACAGTAACGAGGATTTTACCCTCACAAAACATCAAGATTACAATGCAAGACCAACGTGCGAAAACCTGCTGGGTACATTTCAAATTACCCCGGCTATGGTACTCATAAAATTGGGAAAGTTGGCTTCGGGAAAGTCTGCAGGTTGCGACGACATAAGACCATCCGTCCTGAAGCAGTGTTCAGAAAGTCTCTGCCAACCCCTAAGTGATCTGTTTCAACACTCCTTTGATGTAGGGAAACTTCCATGTGAATGGAAACGAGCCATCCTATCCCCTATCTTCAAGGGTGGTGACCGGCAGAACGCGACCAGTTACAGACCAGTTGCGCTACTCCCAGTGATATCGAAGATATTCGAAAGTCTCATTGACGACCACATGAGAAAATACTTCGACGGGACTAACCTACTCCATGAAGCACAGCATGGTTTCAGGAAGGGAAGATCCTGTGTGACGAATCTTCTACTAGCTTGGAACGATTGGACACTATCTTGGGATGTAAAGGTACCAGTCCATGTGATCTTTCTCGACTTTGCGAAAGCATTCGACACAGTTCACCATGGTCTGCTCCTTCACAAAATAAGCAAAGCGGGTGTTTCTGGAGCACTTCTCGCATGGCTGGAAGATTATTTAGGCGAGAGAGAACTCTGCACCAAAGTCAACCGCATCCGATCATCCTGGCACACCTCGGCATCAGGGGTTCCTCAGGGTTCTATCTTAGGGCCGTTGATGTTTTTGATTTTTATCAATGACCTGCCCTGTCAACTGAATTGCTCTGCGCTTCTTTACGCTGACGACGTAAAGATTTGGAGAGCAATAAACTCATCGGAAGACTCCGACAGATTGCAGGCTGACCTGCAAACGCTGGGGGACTGGGCTCTGGCTAACGGAATGCCTTTCAACTCAAAGAAGTGCAAAGTAGTGCAACTTCATTCCGGCAGGTCACAGAGTGCAAATTACACCCTTGGTGGCCAGAACTTGAGTTGTGTGCCATCAGAACGCGATCTAGGCCTTATTTTAACAGAAAAGCTAGACACCAGTGTAAATTACACGAGGGACGTCGCCAAAGCTTACGGCACTTTACACTTTATGCATAGGCAACTGGGAGCTCTTACTCCTGAACTATTCCTAACGTTGTATACGACATACGTGAGGCCACTCCTTGAGGTGCATAATATCATTGCTCCTCCGCTACTCAAAAGGGATGCTAACATGCTAGAAAGTGTCCAGAGACGAGCGACAAAATGGGTGATCGGCCTCCGCAACAAATCATATGAGGAGAGACTGAAGAAATTAAGTCTTTTCACACTTAGTTACCGTAGTCACAGGGGAGACCTCATCACCGTCTATAAGATCCTAAATGACCAGGCCCATCCTAACAAGAGCATCCTGCCATTAAGTGATTATAGGCTTCCACGAGGTAACCCGCTAAGGATAGCACACCAGAGACCAAGGACTCGAGTGCGTTCACATTTCTTCTCGCTTCGAGTTTGCCGTCTCTGGAACGCTTTACCGGCGGCCGTAACTACAGCTCCATCTGTGGAGATTTTTAAGCGGAAGCTGGACAATCATGCAGAAATGCATGGTTTGTGTCTCAACGGCTTACCCTCTTAAAATTTGAAACCACATTGTCAATGGATAAGCATACAAGCTAAATCTTCACGACCCGTCCTGTCTTCTCCCACTGTACCGACTACTCTATCTTTCTTTCTTTATTATTTCACTTATCTCAACCTATATTATCTACACTACAACCTATTATTATTATTATTACTCTACTTTTATGACTATACCGAATGACCGACGGGTGTTAGGTCAAACTCCATTCACGGCAGCAGCTGAGTCCTAACATACTGCACACTACAAACCACAATCTTGACCAATCCTCGCATCACTCCTCCTGGAGTCTACCAGAGCTAAAGCAGTCGAGTGGCGGGATTTACTACGCATAAGTTCACCGAAGATCTGGAACCTCTACCTTAAAATCAAGAAGCGAGCTCAAAGAAATCACTGCTTTATACTAGCTCGTAATCAGGATATTGGATATTGGACTGTCAGAGTGCTTTGTTAGACGCGGATATTTTAAATGGGCAGATGACCTTGGTGGTTAGGCGTGTAAGTTTCTGAGACTTTTTTGGGAACTAGGTTAATTTTCACTAAATAAAAGTCTACATTATGAGGTCGCTAGTGCGTTCAAACCTCTTCGGTGCCTAGAGTTTGACTTAGCCGATAATGCAAAAGGGGATTCACACATTCTAGAAAGGGTTCAAAGGAAGGCAACACTTGTGGTTCACGACATGACTAACTTATCATACGACGAAAGACTAGACAGTTTAAATCTCTTCTCCCTGTCATACCGTAGGCAGAGAGGAGATTTAATCACAATGTTTAAAATTTTAAATAATGACTACGGACCTGACCTATTCTCTTTTCTTTCACACCAGGTCGGAACACCTTAGAGGAGATTGCAGGAGAGTTCAAAAGCCAAGAAGAAACCATATTGCTGTTGAGTACTGGTTCTCACACCGAGTCATAAACTCTTGGAACCGACTCCCAGAAGAAGTGGTATCTGCATCCTCAACTGATTCGTTCAAGAAGGTTTTGGACAAGCACAGAAATTTACTAGAAAAGGATTAACATAGTCTCTAAGCCTTCTATCCTCAACCGATAAATGTGAATCTGATCTGTAATGGCATGTGCTCACATGTCTGCCGGAGCTGATAGAGAATAACTTGGTTTGTACAATCTATTAGTTTCAAATTAGTGAGACGTAACACTATGGAATTTAGAGTAGACTACCGCATGCGTTAGAGGCATAGGGTTAGTTGTTGATATTGGTAGGACTTTTCGTGCCTACCGATGAATGTATGGCCCCCTACGTTATATCCCATATGACGTTATTTTCCCAAAGATGGTAATTGGCTAACCATTTGCCATCTCCGGGTTATATTCTCTATCCTGTTAACCACTCTTCCAATCTTGTGAATCCAATCACAGGCACCTACATTAACTGTGTCGAAGGGTTTCATTTTTTATGTGGGAGGGGACGGGTTGGCGAGAAGGTTGACGAAAAGAGTCAGGAATATGAATGGATCCACAAGTTCCATAATTTACAGCCACCTAGATGAATATAATATATGTGTCGTCTATGATACGATTTCTCTGGGGGTTATCCCTGAAGAAATTGGGAGACATTTTTACAACACATGAGACCACTATGCAGCTTAGTATCATGTTTGCAATGTTTTGAATACACTTTAAAAGTATTATGCGACTTTTATTGCATCTGAATTCTGTTTGTTCAAAGTCGCTATGATTTTGGCTATGACAGTTCAACTTTGCGCAGAAATTTATTGTAAGAAGTTAACTTTACGGACAAAAATAGATTGTTATGGTTACTCGCCTTAATATGCTTCATAAGACTGAATTTGTAAGAGAAGTTATCAAATAATTAACTGGGAATATCCTACTTTTAGAAAATGTTATACAAATTTATCTATAGAAGTTGATTTACGTCATTCCCACTGTATGACTAAAGAAATTCACCAATGAAGTCTTTAAAATAAAACGGGAAGCATTGAATGTTTATTATGTCGTGTGAGATGAATGTTAAGTAGTGTTTTTTTTCAAACAACAACTCCGAGTCCAAGAACATGGACGTTAATATATATATATATATATATATATATATATATAATGAAGAACCGAAGTGAAAGAATTTACAGGCATTAGTGATTGTCGATGTATACAAGAATTAAATTGGTGACTAAAATGGCTGGAACATGTGATATGCATGTGCAGAAAGTCACTTGGTTTAACACAATCTTATGGCTGGAGTAGGCATTGTATAGTCGCAGGAAGTTATTGATCGGTACTGGTGTTCTGTAAAATAAGTCAAACAAATATTACTTTTATAGCATTTGGTTAGAATTTTTTCATACGTTTCGATTTGATTTTAGGCTCAGTGGATTACCATGTGCGTTTCTTCGTACCTGTTAGAGTGTGGTGAAATTATAGATTCAAGGTGCTTATTTATGTAGTTAAATTTTGATACACCTTGAAGTGTTTGTCAACACTTGTCTTTCTGTTATTTCGTCTTTCCTAATATTCATATCTAGTCGATACAATTAGCGGACTCGAAGCTACTCTGCCATTATAAATTCTTTACATCCAGTATACTTAGTAAAATCACTGTATCCTAAGTTGAACTAATTAAATTTTTGTTTTTAATCGTTTACGTTACAGGAATTGGTGATTGTCGATGTATATAAGAATTAAATTGATGACTAAAATAGCTGAGACATATAAGATGCATCCGATATCCAATATCGTTTTTACGAGCTAGTATAAACCAATTTGATTTCTTTGTACTCGCCTCTTGATTGTGAGGTATAGATTCCTGACCTTCGGTAGACTTCTGCATAGCTCGTCCCGCCACTCGACTGTCGTAGCTTAGGTTGACTCAAAAAGGACTGACTGAGAATGTTGAAGACGACGCTAGGTGGGGCCCTAGTGGAAAGTCATCGAAACTAGACTACATTCTAACTAGTGACCAACTACTCGTCGAAGAGGTCCAGATCATGACTCCTCTAGGAAGTAGTGACCATGCAGTCATAGGTTTCGACCTCGTTCTCCGTGAGCACTTGCAGTGGGACGCTACGCAAACATGTCTGTGTTATAGCAAGGCGGACTATGCTGAAATGTGGAGGCTTTTGTCTGACGCAGACTGGCCCTTAGCATGGGATGAGCTATCTGTGGATGAACACTGGGAAGTGGTAAAAAAGATTATTCATACAGCAATCTCGGATACCGTCCCTTTAGTCACAACACAGCCCAAAAGAAAGTCATCATGGTTGAAGAGAGGCACGCAACGTATTCTGCAAGCAAAGCGGAAGGCTTGTTTTACGTGGCGCGTATCTAAGAGTCAGACTAACCACGACGCATACCTGGAACTCAGGAACCGGTGCAATGCAAAAGTCAGGAGTGACAGGAGGTCATTCCAGACTAACCTTGCTAAAAAACTCCTGGCAAACCCGAAGAATTTGTACCGATTCATATCGGAAAGAAAACCAACCAACCAAGGGGCTTGCGCTTTAGTAGGCCCAAACGGTCAATATCTCACTAGTCTGGAGATGGCTGAAACATTCAGTTTAGCCTTCGACAAACAGTTAAACAGCAATGTCGGTATTCTCGGTATGGACCAAAATGGTGGCACTACTATTTCACAGGAGGAAGACCTAGTGGCTACTCCCCAAATAAACCCGACAATAGTACTAGGGAAGCTACAGTGACAACCTGGTTGTGACGACATCAGGCCAGCTCTCTGTAGGCCCTTATGCGACTTGTTTCAACACTCAATGGATTCGGGGAAACTGCCAAGGGAGTGAAAAAGAGCCATCCTTTCTCCGATCTTCAAGGGTGGAGATAGGCAAAATGCCACTAGTTATAGACCAGTAGCTCTACCTCCCAGTGGTATCAAAAGTACTGGAAAGTATTATTGACGATTGCATCAGGGATTACCTTCCCTGAAGCCCAACATGGCTTCAGGAAAGGCAGATCCTGTGTAACAAACCTGCTATCAGCTTGGGACGATTGGACATCATGCTGGGATATGAATGTTCCAGTCCATGTGGTCTTCCTAGACTTTGAGAAGACATTTGACACAGTTCACCATGAACTTCTCATACACAAAATGAGTCAGGTAGGTATAGGTAAGCCACTTCTGGCATGGTTAAAGGACTACCTAGCTGAAAGGCAATTTTGCACTGTCAATCGAGTCCGATCATCTTGGCACAGTTCGTCATCAAGAGTGTCACAGCGTTCTATCCTAGGACCACTGATGTTTTTGATTTTTATCAATGATCTACCATGCCGTCTAAGCTGTCCGACTCTTCGATATGCTGACGACGTAAAGATATGGAGGGCGATAAAGTGTCCGGAGGACTCAGATAGACTGCAGGCAGATCTAAAGCCTCTGGAAGACTGGGTGGTGGCCAGTGGCATGACTTTCAACCTGAAAAAGTGCAAAGTAGTGAAATTATGCACCTGTATACTGCAGAATGCAAGTTACACCCTGTGCAATGAAAGCTTGTCCTGCACAACGTCGGAGCGCAACTTAGGTTTAGTTCTAACGGAAAAAATGGACACAAGCGTAAATTACACAGGGGGATGTAGCGAGGGCATATGCGGTCATACACTTTACATATAGACAGTTAGGTGCACTCACTCCTGAGCTCTTTCTAAGGTTGTACAAAACATACGTCAGACCACACCTTGAAGTGCATAATATTATTGCACCCCCACTGCTTAGAAGGGACGCCAACCTCATGGAAAGAGTCCAAAGACGGGCAACAAAAGGAGAAGTTGGTCTCCGAAACAAACCATATGATGAAAGGCTGAAGAAATTAGGCCTATTCACACTTAGCTACCACCGTCTTAGGGGGATTTGAGGGTCGAGTCAGATTCAATAACTTTAAATAATTTAAATTAATCCCAGCGTGTAAAGAAAATCAGAACAAGATCAATTTCCTGAGTGTTTTGCTCTGTAAGCCACACGTTCTTCAGCACATTTATTCGGATTTATAATAATCATCAAAATATGTCGTCAAAATTATTTTACATAAATTGAAGTCAGTTTATTTGAAGGTCATTTGTCCATGGACATTTTTACCAATCGAAACATGTAAGCACTCATCACATTTGTTTTTAATGACTAATGTCAAATTGTTGTTGTGTTCACTCTTCTATAGTTGATTCGTAGAGATTAGTTTTGTATGAGTGTGTGTGCATGTCATTTCTCATGTGGAAAATACGTAAATTCATATGTGACAAACAAGATACTACATGTTTTTAAAAGGTCATGGAAGCTCACAGAGTAATTAGTGTTTTTTCATCTGTCTTGCTTCATTAGAGTTTCCCATATAGGTGATAAGTCTATCCCTTCTTTCCTATTCACTGCATTCGATGTGGTTAAAATGTGCAAGGCTTCAGAAGTCAATCTTTCTTTATGTGAATGAAATCCTCTTCCAAGAATTTCAACATTGTCGAAATCAATCTTATGTCCGCTGTCTATCGCATGCATTGCTATAGCCGATCTTTTTTCTAGACTTTTTAGT